ATGTGGGGCACTGGGTTCAATCCTCAGGATCACATAACAGTAAATAAACAAAATAAAGGTGTTATGTTCATCTGCAATTAAAAAGTATTAAATTTTTTGTTGTTGTTGTTCTAGGAAAAAATTAAAACATGTATGTACCAAAATGCTTACATTGTTTTATTTTTGGGTGCTAAAACATGAGGTTTTTTTTCTTTTTTCTTCTGTATTTCTAAAATGTTCTATAATTAATATGTATTACATATATACTAAAAAATGAAATAGTTTATAGGCCAGGTATAGTGGTGCTCACCTATCATCTTAGCAGCTAAGGCTGAGGCAGCGGGATCACAAGTTCAAAGCCAGCCTCATCAACTTAGACCCTATCACAAAATTTAAAAAGTGCTGGGGATGTGGCTCAGTAGTTAAGTGCCCCTGGGTTCAATCCCTGGTGCCCCACCCCCACAAAAAAGAGTTGTAAAAATAAAATAGTATGATATCTAGTATTTAACATTTTTATAGTATTTAATATACAAAGTAAAGATCAATATTTAGCTAGGCACAGTGGCACATTCCTGTAATCCTAGAGACTCGGGATTGAGGAAAACATTTGTTTGTTTTGTTTTATTGAAGAGAGGATGTATTCCTGTTAAATGAAACCATTTTAGCCCAATAAGAGATTGATATTTTATTTATTTATTGCAGTGCTGGTGATCTAACTTCGGGCCTTGCCAAGCATGCTAGGAAAGCACTCTACCAAAGAGTTACATCACTGGTCTATCCCAGTATTTTAAAATGAATTCCAAATTAGTGATTCTTTGAAGTTTAAATAATAAGGATGCTGAAAAACACTTTATAATTTGGTCAGGGTTTTTGTTTTTGTTTTTGTTTTGTACCAAGGATTAGACCCCGGGGTGTTTAACCACTCAGCCACATCCCCAGCCCTTTTTAAATTTTTTAAATTTTTGAGACATTGTCTCACTAAGTTGCTTAAGGCCTCATTAAATTGCTGAGATTGGGTTCAAACTTGTGATCCTTGTGCCTCAGCCTCCCAAGCTCCTGTTGATTACAGGGTGGACCACCAGACCCACTTGGTTGGGTATTTTATTTTGGTGTTGTTTCTACTGATACTTATTTCTTAAGGACAAAAATCAGTTAAGTATCTTTAGTGATGTATGTTAAACTGCTGCTTTTAACCTATCTGCTTTAAATCTATCTACTTAATTAATTTGATTCATTTTAAAAATTTCATGTAGGCTAAAGTGATGGCCAATGAGGAGAAAAAATTTCAGCAACATATTCAGGCCCAACAGAAGAAAGAACTGAATAGCTTTTTGGAGTCCCAGAAAAGAGAATATAAACTTCGAAAAGAACAGCTTAAAGAGGTACTTATTTTGTACAAATTTTGTGTCAGTTCGTGCTTATTAATTATATTCAATGGTTCTCACTCATAAGGCGTGTAGGGTAAAATTTTCTTTTATTGGCTGTGACCATTAAATGCGTATCAGCTTGGGCTGGGGATGTGGCTCAAGCGGTAGCGCGCTCGCCTGGCATGCGTGTGGCCCGGGTTCGATCCTCAGCACCACATACCAACAAAGATGTTGTGTCCGCCGAGAACTAAAAAAATAAATAAATATTAAAAAATTCTCTCTCTCTCTCTCTCTCTCTTCCTCTCTCACTCTCTCTTTAAAAAAAAAATGCGTATCAGCTTATACAATGATATTGATTATAATTCATTACCCTTAACTGCTTGAGTTTCCTGGTTCAAGAGGATCTTAAAAAGAACCTTTCCTGAAAAATGTAAATTATTTCACTTATAATAGCTTTCCTAAGTGCCTATTAATTAACTGACTCATTAGAAATAAAAATACCTGAGAAAAATAAACACTGCAAGATCAAATCTTAAGGGGGCTGGGGTGTAGCTCAGTGGTTAAGTGCTTGCCTCACATGTGTGAGGCGCTGGATTTGATCCTCAGCACATAAAAAATAAATATTAGGGAAAAAAAAAAAGATCACATCTTAAAATTGGACATTTTAACTACATCCCCAGCCCTTTTAAATTTTTATTTTGCAAGGAGTATTGCTAAGGGTCTTGCTAAATTGCTGAGGCTGGCCTTGAACTTGGATCCTCCTGCCTCACCCTCCCAGGTCACCTATGATTACAGGCATATACCACCACCATATATGGCATCACTCTCACAAACTACTCATTTATATGCTTTTTATTTGTATTTATTCAAATATCTTATAAACTAAACTTGTACAGAATTGATCTCTTTTTAGAGATCTTTATAGCCAGGCTTGGTAGCACATGCCTGTAATCCCAGCAAGTTGGGAGCTGGAGTCAGGAGGATCTAAAATTCGAGGCCCTAAGCAACTTAGTGAGATCCTGTCTCAAAATAAAAGAATGAGGAGCTTGGGATGTGGCTCAGTGGTAGAGCACTTGCCTAGCATGTGTGAGGCACTGGGTTCAATTCTCAGTACCACATAGAATAAGTGAATAAAATAAAAGTATTGTGTCCATCTATAAAAAAAAWTTTTTTAAATAAATAAATTTTAAAAATAAAAGAATGAGAAAATGGCTGGGGATGGGGATGTAACTCAGTGGTAAAAACTCCCCTGGGTTCAATCTACAGTACCCCCAACACCCCCCAAAAAGTAGTGATTTCTGAAAAGAAAATACAGATTAGTAGTCTCTGAAGAATCATACCTAGGAAAGATAGTTGATTTATATTTTATATAATGTTGATACTCTTTAGGTTGAAAATATTATTAGTTAACACCCTAGGGTTTTCCTCTTTGAATATATCATTAGGGCTTTTTTCATTTTGCCCATTGTAAATGCATTTTCATGGTAGTTTTTGAGATGATATTTAAGATGATATAGAAAGCATTTGTTTTGATTTGTTCAGTGGCTACTAATGCTGAAAATGAAGTAAAGTAAATTTCTGTTCTAATCAYGGTTTTGCTGATTTTCCATTTACTTTCTAGTTCGTTTACATTAAGTTTATAATTTTGTTGAAAACATAGTATCAAGAATGTAAATTGAGGACTAGGGTTATGGCTCAGTGGCAGAACACTTGCCTAGCATGTGTGAGGCGCTGAGTTCGATTCTCAGTATCACATATCAATAAATAAAATAAAAGTCATTGACAACTAAAAAATATTTTTTAAAAAAAGAATGTAAATTGAGATGATATTTTACTTTGTTTTAGCCCTAATTTTAATTCCTATGTAATTTTTTTACCGGAAAACACTGCCTCTGTCTTCTAGGGAAAGCTTTAAAGAAGGATGTGTTTTACTTTATTAACCAATTATTGTGTCCTTTAAAGCTAGGAACCATCAAGATGTAACTGCGAAAGGAGGTTCTGTAATAAAAATATAAAAGTAATTAAAAAAAAAGATGTAACTGCGTAAAGCTAGAAAGTATKCGGGTTTTCTAGAATACATATATCTTTTTGTTGTTGTTGTTGTTAAATATTTATTTTTTACTTGTACCAAATACCTTTTATTTGTTTGTTTGTTTGTTTGTTTGTTTATTTATTTATTTATTCATTCATTCATTCTTATGTGGTGCTGAGGATCGAACCCAGGGCCTTGCACATGCTAGGCGAGCGCTGTACTGCTGAGCCACAACCCCAGCCCCCACATATATCTTTTTCTTCTCCTATTTCATAAGTAACTCAAGAAAGAGGAAAATATTACCTGCTTTCTCCAGATCATTACCCTGTCTGATCATTAGAGAGAAAGCTATTAAATACTTCTATTTAAGTTTACCATATACTAAGTGACGCATTCATACAGCTAATTATGTTTCATGAACTGAGTTTTTGTTGTTGTTTTTATGTTGCCAGGAGCTGAATGAAAACCAGAGCACCCCTAAAAAAGAAAAACAAGAGTGGCTTTCAAAGCAGAAGGAGAATATACAACATTTCCAAGCAGAAGAAGAAGCTAACCTTCTTCGACGTCAGAGACAATACCTAGAGCTGGAGTGTCGTCGCTTCAAGAGAAGAATGTTACTTGGACGGCATAACTTGGAGCAGGACCTTGTCAGGGAGGTGTGTGTGTGAATGATGTGAAAATAATAATCCTTTATCACCAGACTCTTTCCTGAATATATGCCAGTCACATCCTACTTTCAGAGCCTTTGTACTTATTTTTTTCTGTGCTTGAGTCATTCTTCCCCAGATAATCACAGGACTTGTTTTCTCTTTTCTTTGTTTACTCAAATGTCACCTGCCCAGACTTGCCTTCCCTGATTACCAAATCTTTTTCCCTTTGAACAGTCCTTGCACTTTCCCCTCTTATGCACACACACACATACTTTGGGGGAAATGGAGTCTGTTTCCCCTCACTAGAATTGAAGTTGTATAAAATWTGCAGACTCTGTTCAGTTCTTTATATTATTGTCAGTCTGGCCCATAGTAGGCATTCAATAAACAACTTAAATAATATATGAATAAGAGAAATATTATTTTTAAATATGGGGATTAATTGGTCAATCTTTGCCTCTGATTTGAAATGGATACTATTAATGTTGCCATTTAAGATTTTTTATAATCATGTTAGCTATTAATTGGGCAAATAATGTAGAAACTTATGCCAGTGAAAACGGTTGTCCTCATGATCAGGACCTGTTAACATAAATAAATTTATTTCTAGGAGTGAATTAAAAGCTTCAAATGTAGCATAATTTTGCAGATACTCTAATAATCAAAGCAATGTTAATAAAAYGTATCCGTGAGATAAACAAAAAAACTTAAAAAAAGATAATATCTAGTCTTGGTAGTGGCATGGATTATTGGACACTCTTAGTAAAAGTATCAGTTACTACTGCCCTTTTGGAGCATAGTTTAGCAGTAGTATTTTGGTTTTTGTTTTTAGGAGGTTTTGTTTATTTGTTTTTGTGATGCTGGGAATTGAACCCAGGACCTCATGCATGACCAGCAAGCATTCTACAGCTGAACCACATCCCTAGCCACTAGCCCTGGCTTTTAAAATACATGTATGTATGCTTTTATCTACTTCTTGAGTTCTTATCCTCCAAAACAAAAACATGATTATATGATATGTTATATATAGGTGTTTATTGAAACAGTTAAAAATCAAAAAATGGAAACAATGTAGTTATCCAGTCATATAGGAATAGTTGGGGGGGGGGGTGCTATCACAAAAGCCGGATGTGGTTAGCTCATGCCTGCAATCCCAGCGGCTCTGGAGGCTAAAGGCAGGAGAATCACAAGTTCAAATCCACCTTCAGTAACTTTGAGGCACTAAACAACTCAGTGAGACACTGTGTCTAAATTAAAATATAAAATAGGGCTGGGGATGTGGCTCAATGGTTGAGTGCCCCTGAGTTCAATCCCTCTGGGAGACCAACCTTACACATGACTGAGTCACACTCCCTGGCTGGGTGCTGAGGTGCTCAGTCACAGGGCAAGGGCAAGGGGTTATATTACAAAGGAACAGGTGAGCGTAGCTTCATCCATGGGGCTGTAGCAAGACACACCCATGCACAAGACACCGCCCGCATTTCTGTGACTGAGCACCTCAGCACCCAGCCAGGGAGTGTGACTTAGTCACGTGTAAGGTTGGTCTCCCACAAATCCCCAGTACTGAAAAATAAAATGGTATCAACAAAGTTGTATTTGAGCCAGTAATGGCAGCACATACCTGCAATCCCTGCTACTCAGGAGGCCAAGGCAGGAGTTCCAGGGCAGCCTGGACAACTTAGTGATATCCTATCTCAGAATAAAAAACTAAAATGGCTGGAGTTACAGTTCAGTGTTAGAATGCCTCTGGGTTCAACATCCAGGACCAAAAAAGGTGGGGACAGGGGGAGGCCAGTAGCTTTCAGTGAAACTTTTGAAAAGTTTTTAACTACTGATCTTATCTGGAGGTAGATATATATTACACTGTTAAGTGAAAAGAGCAAGTTAAACATGCCTGAAATGTATATTATTGAAACTATGTTTTTTAAATAATGAATATGTCACAAATAAAAAGAGAAAAGATGAGAAGCATATGCACCAAACTCTTGGCTTCTGGGGAGAGGGTTTGCAGGAACTAAGGGAGGGTGAGTATGACTTTTACATAATGTGTATGTGTGCACTTGTTCTTTTTGATCATAAAAAAAAAATTTGAGTTAAGAATAACATTTATTGAACACCTTTGCTGGGTAGTATTCTGAGAACTTTTTATTTATGAACTTATTTCTTCCTCACATTAAATCTGTGAAACAAGACTGGGGGCGTGAGGGTTTTGTGTTTTACTATGTTCTTAGCATGCATAGACCCTAAATTTTACCCCCAGTACCTCCAGAAATAAAAGAAATCACAAAACCCTAATATTTACTATGTAGCTATAATTGAAGCAGAGGCTTAATTGCATCTGGTTTTGTTCCCCCTTAGAATTTTGTTTTTTTTCTGTCATTGTACAGCTGTAAATTATACCTTTGTCTTTTGTGTTATGGAATAGGAGTTAAACAAAAGACAGACTCAAAAGGACTTAGAGCATGCCATGTTACTACGACAGCATGAATCCATGCAAGAACTGGAGTTTCGCCACCTCAATACAATTCAGAAGATGCGCTGTGAGTTGATCAGATTGCAGCATCAAACTGAGCTCACTAATCAGCTGGAATATAATAAGCGAAGGGAACGAGAACTAAGGCGAAAGCATGTCATGGAAGTTCGACAACAGCCTAAGAGTTTGAAGGTATCTTTAGTGTAAGCTTCTTGACAAAGGGGAAAAAAGATTAAAGGCATCCATAGAAGCAGAAAAAAACTAAGACACGAATCTGGTCACTACGAAATTGAGCAGCCTTTTCGCTTTTTAGCATCTTCAGTGGGTTTCAATGCTTGTCAACTGCAGATATTAGCTTATGTATTTCTCTTCAAAGTACAAATAAATGGCTAAAACTTTGTACTGCGGGAAGTACCAGGAAATAAAAACCAAGATTCTCATTTTAAATATATCCAGTATCCACCGGGTGCCTTGATGCATGCCTGTAATTTCATCAACTCAGGAGGCTAAGACAGGAGAATCACAGACTAAGACCAGCCTTAGCAATGTGGTGAGACCCTGCCTCATAAAAATAATATAAAGTAAAAAAGACTGGGGATATAGCTTAGTGGTAATGTGCCCCTGGGTACCAAAGTAAATACATGTACCCAGTGTCCTATGCTCGGATTATATTTCCCATGTCAACAGTCTGTTCGCTTCTCTCTTTTGTCTCAAGTACTATAGTTTTAGAATATTTATTTGCTCTAAAGGAGATTTATATGAAATATAAAAATAAAGTATTTCCCTTTCTTCCCTTGTCTGTTCAGCTACCTTGTCTATTCCCTTTTACCAAATTTGTGACTTAACAGTTCACAATTCTAAGAAATTTTCAAATTTTGTCACTTGTAATGAGCATAGAAAATTGAATCAAATGAATCTTTTTTGTGTGTGTGTGAGAGAGAGAGAGAGAGAGAGAGAGATAGATACTGGGGATTGCACCCAGGGGCATTAATCACTAAACCACATCCCCAGACCTTTGTATTTTTTGAGACAGGGTCTCACTAAGTTGCTTAGGGCCTCACTAAGTTGCTGAGGCTGGCTTTGAACTCACAATCCTCTTTGCTCAGCTTCCCCAAACTGGTGGGATTATTTTAAAACATTCTTATTAATTGAGTTCATAGAATAGCCTGTGATTTAACATGTCTGTTAAATTAATTATGATTTTAAAGCCAGCAGCACCCAGAACTAAACCAAATTAAAAGTTTGTTTGTTTTTTCTAATTATACAATAAATCTGATATGACTAATTTCTCTGGGGCTTGAGTAAAGAATAATTGTTTGACTCTTTCTGTGTCCTGTTGTTAGAGCCTTTTTAATTTCAGAACGTATTAAAACCTAATATATTTTTTCTTATATGCTACATAACAAATGAAGAGAAAATGTTTCACAGTTATAATCAGACTTTTAAATAGGATACTTCTATCTAATGACAAATGAGCCCAGGGTCTTACTCTAGTAGGTGGGGGGAAAATCTCCATTTTCCTCTTTATTAAAGTTTATCTTTTCAAAGGTCAATTTGAATATTACATTATAGTTTCTAACACCAAGTCCTGTTTGTGTTTATTTATGTTCAATGATTGCCTCTTCCAATCTTCTGTAAAACTTTTAAACTGGAGAAGGGGAGACTTCATATCTAGCACATATATATGTTGACTAAGATTTGTATGTTGGGAGGGTGTTTCTATGGAATGGGTGGGGTAAATACCTGCTCCCTACTCTGCTGTTTCTTCAGTTGCCATCCAGATGATCCTTTTTTGTCAGTGTTATGAGAGTAGAGATAATGTAATGTTTTTCTTGTTTTCACTTGAATCAAACATTGAAGGATGTAGTTTATTCTTGGTATAAAGCATTAATCTTATTCACATTGAAGAAAACACTTTTAAGGAGGTTCCCCCCACCTTATTTGGCAGTAGTATGTAATGATTACAATTTTCTTTGCACAACAATAAACAAATTTTTTWAAAATGTACTTTTATATTAGTTTTTTAAATATAGTTGTAGGTGGACAGCATGCCTTTATTTGTTTTTTTAATGTGGTACTGAGGATCGAACCCAGTGCCTCACATATGCTAGGCAAGTCTCTGCCACTGAGCTATAGCCCCAGCCAGTAAACAAATTTTTTTAGTTGAATGTGGTGGCACATTCCTGTGTTTCCAGCAACTTGGGAGTCTGAGGCAGGAGGGTTGCAAGTTGGAGGCCAGCCTCAACAATTTAGTGAGGTCCTAAGTAACTCTAGAGAGACCGTGTCTCAAAATAAAAGCCCTGGTGTAGTGGAACACGCCTGCTAAGGAGGCTGAGGCAGGAGGACCTCAAGTTCAAAGCCAGCCTCAGCAATGGCAAAGTGCTAAGCAAGTCAGTGAGACCCTGTCTCTAAATAAAATACAAAAACAGGGTTGGGAATATGGCTCAGTGGTCGAATGCCCCTGAATTCAACCCCTGGTATGCCAAAATAAAAATAAAAAGGTAAATAAAAACAAGCTAGGATTGTGGCTCAGTGGTTAAGCATGCCTGGGTTAAATCCCCAATATGCGCCTCCAAAAACAAGAGTAGACCATTACTAAGTATCTTTCTACTTAATTTATTCTCTTAAGATATCTAAAAGATAATTATAATAACATTATTAATATTAACCAGCTACTAATACAAACTTCTAGTCATCCTCAAGTTTGATACATAGAATGGACAAAGGAAGTATGGTCTACTATAGACTGTGTAGTTATAGTTGAGATTGTCATTAAAAGAAATTGGAGGAAAGGTATTTTAGATAAAAAACAGAATAAAGGGCTGGGGCTGTAGTTCAGTGGCAGAGTACTTGCCTAGAATGTATGAGGCACTGGATCTGATCCTTAGCACCACATAAAAATAAACACATAAAATAAAAGCATTTTGTCTGTCTACAACTACAAAAAAAAAATTAAAAAAAAAACCCAACAGAATAAATATGCTTTATTTTCTGTCTCAGATATCTGATGAAAATTTGAGGGGCTGGGGATGTGCTCAAGCGGTAGCG